TTCTTACAGATTTGAGTTATATTTATATTATTGCAATATTTAAAAGTTGCAAAAGACTGGAATGTTTTGAAAGCCCGGATCGCCAACGTCTCACAGGGACGCATCTCAAAAAGAAAATATTTAAAATCATTGTTGGCTTGACGTTATTTACAGTTTATATTATTGGAATGAGACAACTAAGTAAATGAATGTAGAGATACAGTAAGTGATTATCTCCCTTTATTATATGACGAAGTGACTTTTTCTAATTAAATTGAAGTAACCTTTTCCTATCTCCCTATGTAAAGTCAGAAAATATTTTTAGATTGTAATGATTTCTTTTTTGAGATAATAATGTTTAGTGATACAAGTCTTACTAATTAATCTATGGCTGGAGGAGAGGGAAAAGAGGTGGATTCATATCTTTCCCAAGGGTATTGACGTGTGAGCGAATATAAAGAATCCAATTGGAATTGAAACTCGGCTCTCCGATTGGCATTTCTGAGCTTCTATCAATCCCACCACCCGTACATCCATTCTTCTTGCTTTCATTCATTGCCTGCTGTAGAAGATTTTGTAGTTTTTTTTCCGTGTCTGCTATCAACACTGTATCTGCATATTTCATATTGTTAAGATTGTGTCCGCCAATTAATTAATCCTGGTATAGATTGAAAAAAATCCGGCGAGAAGATATATCCTTGTCTTACACCCCCTTTCTATATTTGTATACAATCATTCCTTGCTTCTTTCGAGTTTCAGGGCTTAACTCTATCGCGGGTTTTTTTTTTTTTTCAGATCTTTTCATTAAAAAATCATATCGCGGTTCCTCGATGCTTCACTGTTGACTACGGTCTACTACAGCGTTGGAAAAGAAGTTCTTGCCCAGATCTCAGGAGTAGACACACAGTCAATCCTTCAGTTGATCGAGGGAGTGAAAAAAATACAGCGCGCGCTCGTTGTCTGAGTCAATTATAAAACTCTGTATTAAAATTATTGTTGGCTTATGTCTTCGAGCAACTCCGCAAATCCTTCAACGCCAGGTGCAGCCGCTCGACCACTCCTTGTGTATGGGGGAAAAAAAAACTCTTTTCCACGCCTGTATTATTCAAAAATCAAGTGAGGTGAAAGGCAATCAGAAAATGCTGTTCACTGGTTGGCTGTTGTTGCGATGTGCTATGAATCACTTTTTGGTGATGTGTTTGGCTGCGTCTTGGTACAGACCGCAAACAAAATTATTCAGAAGACAGTAAGTTAACAACAAACCGAGTACAAAACAACAAAGCAATAGTATTTGATTAAAATAAAGACCAATTTTATTTTTTGGCAATAAAACCAAAACTATATATAAAGACATTTGTGCAAATAGGATAATTGATTTCAAGGATGTGCTGAAAAGAAAACATCAAATTATGCTAATTAGTCCTTCCAAGAATGTTTATGCAAATGATTTCGAATAGCAGTAACCTTTGTTGTGCAGTACGTCTCTTCATTGCTTCATCGTCAAACAATATTTACATTATTCAGACTATTGTCCTCATCTTTGTCGCCATATTTATTACAAAGTTTCGGCCTTTCAGTATCTGTCTATATTTCTGAGATGAGGTATTATGTACACTATTTACATTATTCGGACTATTGTCCTCATCTTTGTTGCCATATTTATTACAACGTTTTGGCTGTTGTACGCTCCGGAATGTCCGGCCTTCTGGAATGTCGAACTGAACACTTTCGCTCACTGGGGTACACTTTTCTAGTTCCATGTCAGTTATTAGCTATCTCCTGTTACACTGTCTTGTATTGAACTCACACTCTTTGGGTCCTGTCACTGGATCTAACCAACGCCTTTATCCACTGTGCCATGTGTCCTTGAGCACATCTGTGTATGAATTTCTGGGTATCATCAGAAAACATCTTTTACCAGTGCTCGTATCGCGATTTTGCTATTATCAAATCATTTTTTACCGGAGCTCATATTGCAAATTTTTGTTGTTATTATTGCTTTTCTCTGGCACTCCTTATTACTGGTTCCCATATTGTATTCATTTCTATGTTTGGTCGGCTCAAGAGATTTTTGTCGCCTGGCATATGTGCTGATTCCTTAAGATTGCGAATTTTCCAGTAATTTACGAATAATGTAAATAATGTACATAATACCTGTATAATGTAAATAATGTACATAATACCTCATCTCAGAAATATAGAGAGATACTGATCATCAAACAAGTTGCATTATTTACCTTGGTTTACACCAATCTAGGAAAATGATGCAACTTGTTCAATGATGAAGTAATGTACACGTAAGAACCTTGTTTGTGATTTTAATATACGTTTTTTTGCTCTTTTTGTTCCGGAATACGCTTGATGGAGCGATGGAACCCTACAAAATCCTCCTCACTCAGATGAAAAGACAACGCCATCATCTACCTATCAGCCGCACACTCCTTCATCGAACAGGTTGTATATTTTTCCTAGGTTGACATTAACCTAGGAAAATAATGCAATTTGCTCGATGAGGAAGCGATGTAGAGGTAAGACCTCAGTGATATTAATGTACAATAATAATAATAATAATAATAATAATATATTTGTAACGTTTAATGTGTATTATTTTCTCTTATTTTGTCTAATATATCGGTTAATATAAGTGTAAAGGTGACTCCAGGGGTATTATTTCATGTCTTGAGAGCTCCTATAATGTCAAAAACCGCATTTAGAAGGTCGTAAACAGGTTTTCTTTACTCTAACTACAAAAATATTCGATTTATAAATAAAGAATCCATATTCACGGAAATTCACTTATCGCGGTTGGGTCTGGAATAAATTAACCGCGGTAAACGAGGGACGACTGTATCTACTGAATTCATTTTCTATCCGTATGCAGACAACTTGCTGCCAGTATTGGTTCTAGCTTTAAATAAGACACTGTGCAGAGAGCGACATGTCACATAAACTAATAACAATAATTAAATATAGGGTGTGTGATGTGGATAAATTTAGGGCCATTTCATTGCTCCTTCATATTTGTTGAAACTTGACTAATGCATGGAATAATAATCCAACACAAAATGTACTTAGAACAAAATGTATGGAAACAAGAAAGTGTACACAATATTTACATATAGCCTTTTGTATATTCCTGGTAAGACCGTTCCTGGAGAATGTGTTGACTGAGTCACAGTCGGGCAGAATCTCTGGTTAAATCACTTGATTCCTCCCCTCTCTTCCCGGTACCAACCATATTTATATGGTCGGTACTCCACTATGCAAATTAGGTGGATCCTACCACAACAATATTTCTACTCATTTTTCAAGTTTCGGGGTACTTAGCTGCTATGTGATCTCTGTACTTCTATACGGCAGCAAATGTTGGGCGGTCTCCTCAAAGATGAAGAAGAGACTCGAGACAGTGAGGATGTGGTTCTACAGAAGGATGCTAAAGATATGAAGCGAGCGTGTGAGAAACGATGAGGATGCAAAAGAGGAAGCTTATATTTAACATAAAGTGTCTGGAGCACATAATGAGAAAAGAGGACCTGGAGAATCTGATACTCACAGGTTTATGATACTCAGAAATTCATACACAGATGTCCTCAAAGACACATAGCACAGTGGATAAAGGCGTTGGTTAGATCCAGTGACAGGATCCAAGGATTGTGAGATCAATAACTAAAGAAGGTCGGAGCGAACAACGGCCAAAACGTTGTAATAAATATGGCAACAAAGATGAGGACAATAGTCCGAATAATGTAAATAATGTACACTTTCTATCATTTCTAAACTTCATCCTGACCTGGTGCTCAAAAAATCTGATCGGATCCTGATGAGAATAGCGTTCACATCGCAAGAGTTTCTACTTTCGCGTCGTCCAATTCATCCTTCTAGCCACGGCTAACAGCACCAGAAACACCACCCGTTTCACCCCAGAATACAGGGACGACACATTGTCATGCAGGTTTTCCCACAGCTTTTATTGACAAGACGCATCTTACAAAAGACACGGATCTTGACCAGTTGAAGAGAGGCCTGTATCTAAACATGCCAAGCTGTCCTGCTGCTAACGGGAAGAATCCGGATGTAACTGGTGGTGACAAACGTGTCCGCATGTGATCAGAGGCGTCTTTTGCTTCTGTACTGACGTGCGCTCGCCACCTTTTTCAACTGACCACAGATAAGACAGCTTGGAGTGGGTCTCTTTTGCCGAGTGCTTCTCCGATGTGGGATTAGTTCATGTTCCTCCACCTCGTCCCCATGTTATTCTACCCCCCACCCCCACTCCAACCGGGGGATCATCTGGCCTATCCACGCTAACGAGGAATTCATCCTGATATATCCTTTCGGATATATCATCTTCACTACGTTTTGAAGATCGTGAACTCAGGGGAGGAAGAAGGTCCCTGATATGTCGGGACATTCCGGCTACTAAGACTCATTGCAGACTAACAAATCCAGTAATTTGTCCCTTTCTGAAAGTTGTTGTACACATGCTGTGTGGGACCTTTACCCACAAACGAACTTGCATAAGCTGTGTCCCACCTCAGACATCGTTGGAGGTACTGAATTAATCCCTTGAAGTTGAACCACGTATCTGGAGACTTGATTTTCCGGTTGCAATAAGTGGTGAGGTGCCTTCTTTGGGGGTTACATTGTACCAGTAGGTGGCCTCTTCAACATAACACTTCATTCTTGTCATAAATCCTCTTGACACTTCAGTGATACTGCTGAGTTATTAAATTTCTTGCCGGGACATGCGCGCATCGGAATCGCAAATGAACGTCCCATCTATGGGCAAAGGTCCGGAACTCTTGAAATAGATAAATAGATAGATAGGTAAAAAGGCTGAGATAGATAGATAGATAGATAGATAGGCTGAGATAGATAGATAGATAGATAGATAGATAGATAGATTTAAGTATGATTGCTTGATCCATATTACGACGTGCCAATTCTTGTTGGGAAAAATAATGCCAAATTTAGTTTAGGGCAACCAGCATGGATGGAAAAACACTCTACACCGAGACTATTTACTTAGCTATGAAAAGCATGAGATAGATAGATAGATAGATAGATAGATAGATAGATATGAATATAGACATAGACAGCTCTATAGATTTAGGCGTGTACAACAATAGACAGCTAGAGTGACGTAAGTGCTTATTCTCGGAAAATCGTTTTAGTGTGGATCGTAGGAACGGAACTTTGTCGTAAGGCGAGGACCCCAGTATTTAAATTGATCCCGTTAAAATACAAACTGTTAAAAAATAAACGAAGTGTGTTAATGTTATATATATCATATAATATTATGACAAATAAAATAGCAAAGAAATAAAACCATTATAAATTTAAAGGATTTAAAAAAGATGGCACACTGAGAAAGCTTTGTGAAAGAAACGAGTTAAAAAAAGAAGGAAAAAAAGAAAGAAAAAGAAAAGAAGGAAAAAAAAGAAAGAAAGAGAAAAAATAGGAAAAAGAAAAAGAAAAGAATACATTACAATGACCGTATCGTAAATGACACGCTGTACATATTAATATAAGGGATGTAAAAGTACATACAGTGGAACCTCGGTTCACGAATTTATTTCGTTCCTGAAGACCGTTCGTAACCCGAAATGTTCGTAAACGGAAACCATTTTTCCAATAGAAATCAATGTAGAGAGAAAAAGTAACAGTACAATAAAATTTGGAAAAGAAAAGCACGACACAACACACGAATGTATACAAAATGGCGGTCGACTCAAAAATTATTCCGTTCGAGTTATTTCGCTTTGGCAGTGTTCGAGAACCGAAATTTTGTTCGATAACCGAAGCATTTACATCTCGAATTTTCTATTCGTAAACCGATTTGTTCGACATGTGAGACGTTCAATAACCGAGGCTGCTCTGTATACGGTAACGTAAAACAAATCGTACTCATAAAACCTATTGCATTGATTATAAAGAATATATCAATAAAATAATAACATCAATAATAAACATATCAATCCCTCAAAATTTAAAACCTTTTGTCCCCGTCACATCTCTTTACCGGCAAAATATTTATTATTATTATTATTATTTATTAAAAAAAAATAAAAATTATAATAAATAAATTATAATAAAAATTATGAAAATAAAAATATTAAAAATATTTTTAATAAATTAAATTAATTCTTTTGAAAAATCCTAGAACCACACCTATAATACTGGGAAAATTTGTATATTACTTACAATATACCTACGTTTGCAACCCCCTTTATGTACATATATGCGTGCACTAAAACAAAAACAGTAGGCGCATGCGCAGATTTCAACAAATAGACTAGTTTATAATCAGATATAGATGGGAGCCAGCCTAGACAATTATATTAACTGTAATGGCTATAATGTCTTATTTTATTCATTTTTCATTCTTGGTTCCGGTAAAGAACGGATTGCGACCTTCTTGTAGCGTCTTGTTAAGAACCAAAACCAAAAACTGTACTTCAAATAGTTCTCCAATGCCCAGCAGCAAAGACAATTAAGTAAAAAAGATGCCACCCTGGGAAAGCTAAAAGCCAAAGAAACGAGTTAAAAAAAGGAAAAAGGTAGGAATAAACAAAAAGAAAAGGAAAAGAAAGAAAAATACGAAAAATAGAAAGAAAGAAAAAACATTAAAAGGGCCGTATCGTAAACAGACAAGTTTTCTTCTGTTGCCAAAACGTTGGCTGGGGTTCAAGCCTGGAAGCGTCCGTCAAATTTAGTTTGCATTTTTACTTGTTACTATTTAAAAACATCGTCGTTCGTAGGTATTATTATTCGTTCGGTATACAAAGAAATCCACATTAGTAATACTGTTTTTTTTTTTTTTTTCGGCACGGACACCAATGCCTTGATGGAACTATTTCTACTATAGTACTTTACTATCAATTTTCAATTCCTTTTTTTTTCAAACGATTGATATGTAAAATAAATGAATGTATTTACGAGTTTTGTGGAATAGCTGAACACCACCCCACAAGAATGACTGGTCTAAGACTATTTAAACAGCACTCTCTTTTACTGAGGGGGAGGGGTTTAACGATTACAGTTAACTCTACTTGTCGATTCTCTGCCTCCAGGCGGAGAGGAATCAAAACGAGGCTATACCAAAGGGAAGAGTCTCGTCTGGGGAGGTAGACAGTTACCCTACCCCGTGTATACGGGGTCTGCGGGAAATTTTTGCCCGAACCTACGGGCTTGGAACGCCCCATGTAAGAAAACTTGCCGCCTTGTGGGGAGGTCCCAGGTAAATACCGAGGAGTTAACGATAGATAGAAAGACAGATAGATAGGAACAGATAGATAGATAGATAGATAGATAGATAGATAGATAGATAGATAGATAGATTTAAGTATGATTGCTTGATCCATACTACGACGTGCCAGCCTTTGGGAAAAAAAACAATGCCAAATTTAGTTTAGGGCACCCAATATGGATGGAAAAAAAACACAATGTTGTAATGGTCAACCCGATAAAACTTGTTAACCATTACTCTACACCGAGACTCTTTACTTAGCTATGAACAGCATGAGATAGATAGATAGATAGATAGATAGATAGATAGATAGTGAACAGACTGAGATAGGTGGCCAGATGTAAGGGGTGATGTGGCCGTAGAAATTGTCTGACGCCATGACTGATTTCTCCTGCTTGTGTGGCATGGTGCAGAGTCCTGTTGCCGGACATATAGACTTACAGCAGCCACCCTCTTAACCCAGGGCAGCACTATCTCACTGAGGAAACAGAGAGATGAGTTCAAATTCCAGTCAAATCCATTACATTCACTTACATCTAATATCCTTGGGGAAGGTATGAATTCTTTTCTTTTCCCCAGATTTTTATAGATAGATAGATAGATAGATAAACAGACTGAAATAGATAGATAGATAGATAGATAGATAGATGTGAACAGACTGAGATAGATAGATAGATGTGAATAGACTGAGATAGATAGATAGATAGATAGATAGATAGATAGATAGATAGAAAGAAAAGACTGCGATAGATAGATAGATAGATAGATAGATAGATAGATAGATAGATATGAATATAGACATAGACAGGTTCGTGAGGAAAAAAATAAATAATATTTCTAATGCGGATTTCTTTGTATAGCTGGCGAATAATAATACATACGAACGACGATGTTTTTAAATAGTAACAAGTAAAAATGCAAACTAAATTTGACGGACGCTTCCAGCCTTGAACTCCAGCCAACGTTTTGGTAACAGAGGGAAACTGGTCTGTTTACGAGCATCGTTACGATACGGTACTTTTAATGTTTTTTTTTCTTTCTTTCTTTTTATTTTTCGTATTTTTCTTTTCTTTCCTTTTCTTTCCGTTTTTTCCTTCTTTTTTAACTTGTTTATTACATTAGTCCGTGTTCTCAACCGTGTGCCATATTATAACCCGAAATAAACTACTTCTTACTTTCTATATGTGTGTCGGTCTTTCTTAATTAGGACACACCAACGAGTTATAAAAGTGGATGGAATTCATTCTCTTAATATTTTGATAGAAGAAATATTGATTGATTCCATGTTTGAACGGAGGGAAAACAAATGTCTTAGGGAGGATAGAACTCATCACTCAGTTGCAACTGATCTATTGAGACAAACTTGTTAACCATTACGTTACGTTGAAGGTCCCGAAGAGATTTACTAAGTACAGCTTAGTCTAGCACAAGCTGGGCCCATAGTGAGGACCGACTCAGTTGTGATTGATCTCGAGTCGATTAGAGTCGACCTTTCCAACCAGAGATCTCTTTTTGTTTCTCTTCTTTTCCTCAGCGATCCCTGTCTAAAATATATTTGGACCTTAAATCTCGTACTGATGCTGGCAATTAAAATGTACGAAAAGCTAAGAAATTTGAATCAGGTTCAAAATCCCTCCTTTAAAAGTTTCTTGGGCTGTTGATTCTGCTGATTGTCGAGCTCAATGCCTTACTACCATCTGCCACGACGAATACAACATCCATGTACACGAACCAACATTTAGCTCAGTGTCATTCGCACACTGACCTCCATTCAATCATTTGACTATCATTGACCCCCACTAGAACTTCTCACCGACTCATAGGTTTCGATCGGACCCCGTGTAACGACCCCCAATCTAAAGAGACAAGCTTACTGACCATGACACCACATTGAGGTTCCCATAGCGATTTGATAAGCGTAGAATAGATCTGGCTCAAAGCCGAAAGCAGGGAACACACAGTGAGGATCGAAATCACTATTCAGTTGTAATTGATCTTGCAAAATAATCTTGTTAACCATTACACCTCGTTGAAGTGCCCGTAGACGGAAGATAACGATTGACATTGAATTTAAATTTTTGAAGATCAAAGTTGACAGGGAAGCTAGAAGTTGGAAGAGATTTCCACAAGCGAGAAGTACGATAGAAGAACCTGTTAGCATAGAACTTACGGTTACATTTAGCCATTTCAACTGTAAAATGAAACCTAGACAGAAAATCAAGATTCACTGAGGAAGCGGAAAGAAAACAAATCTTTACCTCTGTCTAGCGGAATATCTAAGGAGTACTGCATTCCGAGCTTGTTCCAAACGGTCGCGCCACCAAGGCTAAACTATACTGCCAGTAGCTAGACCGCGTTTACGGCAAACTAAAGAAAGAATAGTCTACTTTGGTCAATCAATGTGGAGCTTTGTTTCAGCAAGACGAAGCGCAGTCGCACGCTGCTGGGTTGACTAAGGAGTTCAAGCAGATAGACGGTACTGAGATTCTTCCACATCCCCCATTCACTCACGGTCAGTTATGGTCCATGCCTGATACACGCTTAGGCGTTCATCTACCTTTCGATACATGACTGACGAGGCAGATTTTTCCCGTAGTCGGTAGCCATTTCTTTCTGTGGTAGACCAGTTGCCATCTACGGCTATAGAACACCGTCTGTCCTGCTATTTACCCATAGCTAGGGGGAGAAGAGGAGTATTTATACCTTTCCAAAAGGCATTAGCACGTAAGTGAAAAACCTTGGGAAAGGTATGAATCCTCTTCTTCTCCCCCCCCCGCCAGCTATGGGTCACAACTATGACTTATTCTTCTCAATAGCACCCCCCACGACCAGTGATTCAACACTTTTCATTAAGTGAGGAAAGCGTGTTTACAGTCTGTTTTTGTTTTTTAGATTTAAAACCCATGGACGGGTATCTCGGACACATTCGGATGTTATCTGATCGCTGGCAGAAGATCATCGAGAATGATGGGATTTATTTTGAAGAATAAATGTTGGTGTTGCTCCATAAAATTCTGTTTTTCTTTCCGCTTCTTAAGTGATTCAAGACTTTCTGGCCATCTTAATAGTACCGTATTTCATAAAGGCTGGGTACCATAGAGTCTAGATATCATATTGAACGAATACCGAGTATCCTCTTGTTTTGAAAGGAGAGAAAACAATTCCTTCGACCGTTCGAAAGAATTCCTTTGCTTCCGTGTTTGAAAGTAAGGGAAGTGAATTTGTTCATTAAGCAAATGTTGATTGCAGCAGAGTGTTAACCTCTTCGCTAATATTTGGATTAAATAAATATGCCTTTTGAATAAATCACTTTTAATATGCTAGGTGCTTCAACGGAGTTAGAATAGAAATATCAATACTTTGAAGAAACAAACGTCGATTTGAGCCGAGGGGAAACTACTTCGTTCATATGTTAAGAGCATTACGTGTTTAAGGTGGTCGGAATAGATGCCATTCGATCGACGTTTTAATTAAACGATTTGCGATTGTCTCTCTATTCGAAGGGCAAAGGAATACCTTAAGATTTCAATATTTTTAATATCGCCTCAGTCTGTTTTTGCAACTGGATCCTTTGGATTAGACCCACTAAGAAACTTTTTGAAACAGAAATTTTCTTAAATTGTTTTCACTCATTTTTTATTTATTCTTTTAGTTTGAATCGAACTTTTGAATTCTTTCATCTTTTTATTTGTTTTCTCCTCGGCTTTGTCCGCCATTTTTTTGTCTGCTCAAGTGATAGGAGAGTATCTAGCTGCCTACTTAAGTAAGTATGGCTAAATCCTATGTGTTACCTCTGGCATCTGAACGGGGGATGGAACTTCAATTGTTACGCTTATTCATTTGGCATTCGACTTCATCCCCGACTGTTTGGTGCCAGTTACCGTGATCAAGAGAAAACCAACTTCTTGGAAGTGTGGAGAGACTGGTCACCTCTCCTCTTCATGTACATAGAAGAAGTCATCTGAAGTTCTGACCACGCAAATCACCCTCTGACCGATACGGATAGTTCCGAGGCGCCTGTAATGAGACTAACAAACGATTCGGAGAGGTGCGAACAAACCCCGGTTGGGTCCCGTCCCACATTCTCCAAAAACCGACCCACTCGCAGGTGCAAAGAAATAAAAAGAAAAAAGGGAATGGCGTGTCTTTGGTAGGGGAAGAGAGAAGAGCCAAACAGCGGGGACTCTGTCACCTGAAGCCCCCAGGGCAAAAGTAACTTACAGCCCCATTCCCTCTACCATCTTCAAGGGCGACGTCCAAGCATCGTATGTTATCCCGTTGCGGATTAGCATACGACGCCTGGGCGTCGCCCTTAGAGATGACAGAGGGAATGGGACTGTAAGTGACTTTTGCAAATTAAGACAACTCAAAAAAGATCTGGACACAAAGTGGTAAAAGAAACCAAAGCCAGTAGGGGTGGTGGGTCACTTATTCTCTGTCCCGGCTTCTCCATTATCAAAAAAGGTCATGGCTCCTCCCACAGTTGTGCCAGGAGGGGCCCGCTTTTTGTTCACCCTTCCCTGTATAAAACTTTTAAATTAACTTTTCATTTGGAACATTGTTAGCCTGTCTCCTGATGGCACCATAAGAGTGAAATGTGTCTCGGCCCAGTAAGACATACCGTCGGTGTCCTCACCCAGGCTATGTTCAATACAGAAGAGCAACCGTAATTGATCTGATGCTCGGGGCCTAGGGTCGATATCTCGCAGGGTGTGACTTGATCGAGACATTCAGTGTCTCGTGGTGAATTTATGCTGTGTACATGGGATCCGGTTTTCAATTCGCGACCGAGGATGAATTCTGTCTAGTGGGGGCAGGGGTCACCTATATTCAGCATATTTTGATGGATGCTCTGTTACGGTTTTTTGTGTATATGTGGTATATAACTAGTGAGCGAGTCAAAATGACTTATTTCCCTTTATAGTCTACCAATATAGGTTAACCAATCAGGAGCCGCAGAACACTCCATCTTTGTTTTCCCTACCGGAAGGACCAGAGCCAACTTGTCAGGCGAACTGCTACTTTGCTGTGATATCCACTGCGAACCTGAACTACGCTTTCCTACTGTCTCCGAAATAATCACTGCCAACCTCTGGATTCTATACTCGAAGACGACCGGCATGAAAATGTCTAACATGCTCGAGAGTTTTTTTCTGTCTGCTGAGCAAGTCTTTGGATGCGGCTTGTGCTCTTGTCTTCGCAGATCCGGTGGGCAGACTTTGCGTTGTGGATATTACTAGAAAAGATAAGGCTCTTTGTCGCATTTGTGTTTCGGCAGGGAATGTTGGACGATTTCCTCAATGAGGAAGAAGAGACTCGAGGTGACAGAGATGTGGTTCTACAGTAGGATGCTAAGGATATCATGGACCGAGCGTATGAGCAACGATGAGATCTTAGAAAGGTTGCAAACAAGGAGGAGGCTTGTACTTATATCAGAAAGAGGCAGCTGAAGTTTCTGGGACACATAATGAGGAAGGAGGGCGTGGAGAATCTGATACTCATGAGTCGAATAGAGGGAAAGAGAGACAAGGGAAAACAACGCGTGATATATCTGGCGAACTTAAGCAAGTGGATGACAGAACTTGGTCTGGGGGAGGAAGTTGGTGAGAGCTGCAAGGAATAGAGGGAGGTGGAGTGCCATGATCACCTACGTCCTGAAAGGACATGGCATATAAAAAGAAAATATCATGCTGAGCGGCATGATTTGTTTCGCCGGATTGAATTGTTTTTTACATCTCGTCGCGTAGTTTTAGGTGGGGGATTTGAATGCTGTCCTTGACACCGACATAGATCGTATTTCCA